TTTTGGGCTATAAAATGGCACCCAAATCCTCTCATTTTACACACAATTCTTCAACATTTCAATACTCTTTCATTGCACAAGCATTCCTATTTTTCTTAGCTATTTGAGAGCCAATAATTCTTGAAGAAATTGTCGTGTTCTTGAGCGTTTACTAGTTCACTCATATCTACTCTTTGTGAGAGTTTTATTCCTGAGTGTTTAAGTGTTTTCATACACTTTAAGGGAGGTCGTTCCCTTGTTGTAAACTCGAAGGAAGTTCCTTGTTCCTTCGTGAGAAGTCTTGGAGTGCGGTATCTCCGAGCAAAGGTGTTGAGGCTCGTGTGACTCGGGCTCTCAAGTTGTATGGGTTTGTTAAGCACCCTTAAGCTTAACGGAGTTAGTGTAGCTCGAGAGAGTCTCTCGGGGGGCTGGATTAGCCACACATTGTGGTGAACCAGGATAAAACTCGGTGTGCTCCTTCCTTACGCTCTTTACTTTAACGCACTCGTTTTTAATTTCCTGAGATTTTATTTTAAACGCTATTCACCCCCCCCCTCTAGCGTTGGGCCTTTATTCTAACAATTGGTATCGGAGCCATACTCTCTGAAAGACTTAACCGTTTGAGAGAAACGATCAATGGCTTCTACTCAAAGTTCATACGCAGGTTTAGGTGAAGGGCAATCCACCACAAGGCCTCTATTGTTTGACGGAACAAACTACACCTATTGGAAGGAGCGGATGAGGATTTACATCCAATCCACCAACTTTCTCCTTTGGAGAATTATCAAAAATGGTGAGAACATGCCAATGAAGAAGGTCGAGGAAACCAACGTCCCTAAGACCGAGGATGAATATATATGATGCGCAAGACATCAAGAAGGTGGAAAACAATGCCAAGGCCATCAACATCATCTATTGTGCCGTTAACCCGGATGACTACCGGAAGATTTCTTGTTGCACCACCGCAAAGGAAATGTGGGACAAACTAGAAATCACCTACGAAGGTACGGATCAAGTCCGAGAAGCTAAAATTGGTTTTCTAACCCATGAATATGAATTGTCTCGTATGAAGGAAAACGAGAAAATCGATGAGATGTTTGAATGATTCTCCAAAATCGTCAATGATATTCATGCTTTCAAGAAGACGTACACGGACAAGGAGCTTGTGAGAAAAATCCTGCGAAGTCTCACACCGGAGTGGCGCTCCAAAGCCGATGCCATTCAAGAGTCCATCGGCATCACCAACGTCACCATTGACGGACTTAGAGGTAACCTCAAAACCTATGAGTCCACGATTCTATTCCCCTCTTTAGGTGAACAAAAGAAGAAGGGGATTGCACTCAAGGCTACCTCAAGCCAAGAACCCGCCATGGAAGAATCAAGCGATGAGGACAACGAGTTCGGGCTCGTCATCAAAAAATTCCACAAGTTCATGCGAAAAGAGTATGAACGAAAGGGCAAAAAGCATGGAGGACCACCCAAGTGCTATGGGTGTGGAGAAGTTGGGCACATCAAGCCAAAATGCCCAAACGCCAAAAACGAGAAGGAGAAGAAACCGTTCAAGAAGCACCGAGCTTACATTTCATGGGGAGGTGATTCCGGCGATGAGTCATCGGAAGGCGAAGAAAATGAAAGCGCCAACCTCTGCCTCATGGCACACGAAGAACCACCGGAAGAGGTATGTACCACTTCTAAAGATTCCTATACTTTTGATGATGTACAAGAAGCCTTTAATGAACTTTATGATGAATATGTCAACGCTTCTAAAATTAACAAGGATTTGAAGAAACAACTTACTTCCATGGAGAAGGAAGTTGATAAACTATCAAAAGATAATGAAAAACTTAAAGAAGAAAATAAGTTTTTCGGAAAAAGAAGCGCCGACAAACCG